GGTGACGCCACAAGACAAGTCGGTCAGCGACGGCATACGAGCGAGAACCTACTCCAACTCCCCGAGGAATGAGGTCGATCGCTAGGTTCGCGAGTTGGAATCCAGCAATGGCTAAATTTAGCGATGCACGATTCGTTCCTACTGTGTGTTTCCCGCCTTCTGCTTTCGACGCTGCACTCGTTTTCATCGCCGCGACAGAAGTGGGACACGGACAGTGCGGAGAAGAGACCGGGAAAGGGGAGGGGAAGAAAACGAGAGGCGGTGACGGCTCCTCTTCCGCCAACTGTTCGTCTGCTAGCCTCCTCCCTCGGCTGTTGACGTTGGAACGGTGGGGGGCAAAGGCCAAGTTGACGAGAGTCAAAGGAGGCTGGGAACAACACTCTTCGGCACAGCACCAAATGCATCGATTGATTACTCTTGCTGGGTGTGACATCAGGTCCGACATCCAAGAACACTGCGACAGGCTTATCTTCTTTACCAGCGCTTAATGATTACAGGATAGTTTCCTTCGTTTCAACGAAAGGATGGAATCAGCATCCAACATCCTCGACCTGCCGCCACTCCCTGTTTGGATCGATACGGACCGACGGTTTGCGCTCGTTCGCCGGGGCCTCGCAAGCTCATAACAGTCACACTGCCGATCGGTCGGGCTGGACTGCTGGTGCGGCTGGGTCTTTTCCCCTGTCCCCTACAAGCTCATCCAAGCTCGTCTCCGGCTTTCCTGTCCCAGGTCTGTCCGCGCTACATCACACTTTCTTCTTCCGCAAGCGAATGGATGGGAAACTCCACCCCAGCCAGTCTGGCCCCACGTGACACACACCGCATAATTCTCGTGAGATTCATTATGAATCTGAGGCAGCAAATTCCCTGACAAGCAATAAACGCCACTTCATCGGGAGTACGTACCGAGTATGGGATAATTCGGTATCCGTATCCGTACCCCTCCTGTAGTCCTCTCCTCAAAGGCAAAATGGAAATGACATTCACAGAACAGGTTGGTCTACGAGTGAAGTTTTCCTTCTCAGTGTACTCCGTACCAAGCACCCGCTACTAGACACATAGCGCATCGATGCACCCTTGCTGCGCTATGTCACAGAAGGCAATTTTGTTTAGTTGTGTTGAGCTGAGTTCGCCTCTCCAACGAGTGCTGTCAGTTCATGCTCAATCCCTAATAGTGTCGGTGAGACGGCGGGCATCAGTGTCTTCGTATTGCAGCCATTGCGAGGTACCCGCGCCCCGAGGGCTTCGGACACACGAACTCTGCATCCGGCCGCTCGGAGATAGCTACTTACAGAACTCTGACTGCAGCAAGTACATGCAGTCCGCGTATCAAAGGCTTGGTGTCTCACGGGCTGGCAGTCATAGTGGGGTTACCTGGTGCGTCGGCTGTTGCACGCACTCTGCAGCGTGGGGAGAGAGGGATTAGCAACGATGTTGGCTTTATCTTCTGCTCGCGGTTTTGACTGCCTCGCGACGTCTTTGGTTCGCAAAAGCGTCGTTGCTCAAGCGGAGCGCACTCCGTATCATTCTCGTGGCCAGCGACTCACAGGCGGACGACGCGACGCGAAATCGACTGGATAGCAAATTGCCCAGTACGGATGATCTGAGTGGTTGGAAGCGCCTCATTTCTGCAGCTGCCTAATGGTCAGCTGCCTAGTTCCACGATTCAAGTGAGTGGGAATGTGTCACGCCTCTCCCGGGGGTACACGGACAATGAGCCAGTCTGAGGGCCAGGACAGGGCGGGGAAGAAGCACTCTGCCACTCCCCGCCGCCGCCCAGGGTCTGCTATAATCGACAACTAGCAGCTCTTGACCGCGCAACGCGCGGACGTCGGCCACCGCCAGCTTCGCGATGCCGAGCCTCCTTGCTGTTATGGTGGGCAACACATCTACTTTCACTCCGCGCGTTGTCCTAATCTCGCCCATGTTCATCAATCTTGGACAGTAAAAGGTACCTCGGGCGCTTCAAGCCTGTTTTCACCCAGCCGTGCGGTCGTTGTGGTTCTGGACTCGGCTCTGAACCAGAAAAGGCATTGACTTGGCTCACTTATCATCAGGCACCCAGGAGAGCGGGTGTACTTCCATTCAGAGGCCGGTTATTTCCCGCCTGCGGTCATAAGTCTGCGTTGGAGCGACCTGATGCGTCGCACCAGCCGACAATAGTCCATCAGCTACTGCTAAGCTTCTTGCATACGAGGTCTGCGAAGCTGAAGTTGGGCGCTAGGTAATACCACACGCTGCCATCATCAGACCAACCAGATGCATCCTGCCACAGAGCCTCAGAGGGTTTGCCCACCCAGTATGATTTACCAGTTCAGTAAATGCCCATGTGGGAGCAGTATGTCAAAGAATCCAAGCTGATCACAGACTCTCCACAACGAATTCTGTGCTGCGTGCTCAAGTTGGAATATGTTCCATAGGCCTGCTCCTATTCCTTCGAGCCAAGACCCTTTGGCTTGTGTTTCGTCCGGCGACATATTCACGTATTTTGGAGCATCGCAATACGCGTCGCGAATCAGCAACACCCGCCACAGTCGTCGTCGCTCATTTCTCTCTCGATTCTGCAATCAGCTACACCCCGGTCGTGAAGGGATCTTCCGCATCTCCTCGCAACGAATGAGGGCCATTTCTGTGACCTCTGCCTTCCTATTCGGCCGTCTAACCCCAACCATCTGGAAGCTAGCACCGCAACACGATCCCCTTCCCCGCCGCTCCCGTCGGGTCGTGATGGATGGATGTCTCTTGTTCCTGGCGCTTAAACCCTGAGTGATGGGTCCCGCAAACGCACGATTCAAAAAGTGAGAGAGAGGGGTAGGAGCTCCGACGCGCCGGTTTTCAACATCCATGTCGCAATCGTCATCCTGTCCATTTTGTGGTATCAGAGGGCGCCTGAGAATGAGTGTTTGCGTGCGACGGGGGGGACCTGCGAGGCATATTACCGTCAGCGCTTAGAATATATCCTGCTCACCTTACGAGCCGGACGAGTGACAGATCACAGGAGCCTGATCGGCATCGAAATTAATGCTTCACTAATACGAGCGCACACCGCGAGAACAATGCTTACGATTGGTGACAATGATAAATGCCAGCATCTAGATTTTTTCTCGGTCATCTGAGCACATAGTCGAACGGCTTAGTTCCACTAAAATAAGGCATTATCGCATGCTTCCAGGCGGCGTTTGAGTTGCAGTGTGATACTGCACAAATGACCGGACCTGGCGCGGTACGCAATAAGCTGTTCGTAGCAAGCACGTCCGCGCGCCTTCAAAAATTAAACGTTCCGAAACCGAGAATCGAACTCGGGGCTATGCCTAACCTGACAAAGAATTGAGAGGGCATCATGTTGGCCACTACACCATATCGGATGTATACTCGAGGTGGAAACATGGTAACTAATCAATGTTGTCGGGGAAGACCCGGGAAGACGGTGGAGATATTTGCGTGGAATCAAGCTTGGCGCCGGCCTCGAGCAAATTTCCGTATGACAGGCTTCTTTTACTCTAAGCGCTTTTCCATGATGTGACAAGAGAATGTACAATGACAATTATTATCATTATTGTTATTGAAAAAGGATTTCTTCTTTTGTGTTGTGAACAGACGTCCGCATAGCCCGTTCTACTTTCCTCACCTTAATCTTTTGACATTGGACTGGAGTCGTTTGCCGCGTGCCTTTGAGTAACCATCACTGATTGGATGATTTATTTATGGAGCATCAGATGACATATATGGCCGTTCCTATCTTGCTACGCCACTCATACTTTTCCTTAGACGGTAGTTCACTCACATCTCTTCATCTCTTCTGGCGGCATGCGGTCACCTTTTCAATGTCGGCTCAGTGTCTAGGTGGGAAGAATGCCTGTAGATGAATAACATCTCAGCTTTATAGATTGGTCGGCGGCTGTTCAGTGCATGATACGTCATGCCAGATTGAACCTGGCGTGTTGGTCAGGAACAAGTCAAGTCTGATCAGGATACCATACTAATTGACAGTAGAGACGTTCTCAACCAGAAACAGCCATCTGGTTACAAATCGATCCCGTTGAACTGTGTTGTCCTGCAACCCTTTGTTGGGTTGCACGTTCTCATCCTCCAGATGTTGAGAGTGGATGGAAACCTTAGGATCACCAACTCCCAGATGACTTCATGACCCAGGGTCTTTTCAAGACTATGACATCAATCTACTTGTGGAGTGTTAGTTGTGATACAAAGGAACGTCAAGGCCCAATGTTTTCCGGTAACGTCTCCCCCCAGTATCCATAGAATGGCTTGCATTCAGGGCAGCTTTGCTACATTTGGTCATGATACGTCACTTTGTCAAGCTTCATGAGACATTTCATGTGCTCATATTATAAGGGCATTACGATTTTAGACTTGATTGGCGTGTAAGCGTCATTTCACCCGTTTACGCTGTTCCTGAATTTCATGTATCCTGATAGCGAGGCAACTTTGAGTATGTGGACAGGGTCAACTGTTCATTGTTTAAGGTCAGTCAAATCGTAAAGGGTGATTATTAGGGCGGAAACTCACCCTGAGAGGACGTTGCCCAAAGTAGAACGTGGCCATTGATTGAAATCCAAATTCAAAGTATGAGTCCCGCTGCCCTTGGCGTACTGTATCCACCGTTCAGAACATGAACTTACACGGTCCGGGGATTCCTGGAGAGCGCCGAACATTGCCTCTTACATCAAGTTTGATAGTACAGACTTGCTAACCCGACGACTTGGGTCTGGGCTATCATGGTGGGCCGCGCTTCTCGAAGCTTAAGGAATGCCTCAGTTCGCCAAGCCTAAACACTCCTGCGGGTTTCTGGATGCAAGTAGGTAGAATAAAATCCAGCATCTCAACAAGTCATCAACATTCAAACCCGCCAACCACATGCATCGAAGTGAGGGGCTTCTTCATTCGCTTGAGTGATTGAGTGTTACAGCCGGGTATCTGACTCTAATATAGCAACAAAGGTCAAGAGTGTTTACTCACTTCGGCAATATCAAGCTCGCTAAGTGGTCACACCCAGCCTGTGATAAGCACGAACGGGGTTACGATTCGAAATTTAATGCTGATGTTGAATACTACTATTTACTCGGAATGTCAAGTTTGCCAACAGTGATCATGAGATCATAAGCGACTGTCACGGAAAGGAGCCGATCCTCCTCAAAGATATACGTAGCAGAACGGTCCTGCAACAGTGCTCATAGCGTCCCGGATTTTGATGGGTTCTGCGTCAACGTATCCATACCCCAAGAAATCATCCATGGTCGCGTTGGCACTGGGAGGCTGATCCAAAAACGTGTTGGTTCCGGCAAGAGCAGTCTCGCCGTATTGTCTCTCCCGAGGCGAAAGCATCTGCCACATCCACCATACTCGGTCAATCATAGAATGGTGAAAGTAGAAAACCGGGTCACCTGGCGAAGTGAAGACGTCTATTGACGAGAGTCAGACCATTTGAACAGCCAAGTGTATCAGAGGAGTGCATCCTTACCTCTTCCAGGATCTCCTCCAAGAGCGTAATGACCGCCACCGTGAATGCCTAGCACAATATCGGTCAGAAGTGATTTTGTCATCATGAAACCGCATGGACTAAAAATGAACATACCAATGCTGCCACTACCTGGGACACCTTGCATTTGCATTTGAAAGTCGTATACATTTTGGGGCTGAAGGATGTTGGACAGCACGGAGGTGATGTTGGCGAAGACACGGTTGACCTCCGTCGTTAGATCACGCTTGAGGCAGCGAGGGTTATAAGAGAGGGGTCCCCCGGGACTCGACTCAACAACGCCACCGGGCAAGTCGAGGGCAGCAGGGCCAAGGTTGACAACCATATCCTTAAAGGGCCCCGAGGTCACGCATCCCCCGCCGGTACCTACAGGAAGGTAAATCGGGGGTAGGCCCTGTGCAGCTCCGAGCACAATCGATTCACGCCCAGGGATGAACTCGCCATTTCCAGAGATGGAAGTTTCGCTCCCGTCGAAGATGGGCGATTTTTCCATACCTGTGATTGCTGTCTTGGACCAGTCCCAGTACTGCGGTAATCAGAACATTGATCAAGGCCGGCGCAAGATGGTCATTCGGTAAGAACTCACCGGCTGGGTGCCTTGGTAGCCGCACTCGTTGCGGAGAGCTTCTTCGTACAACCAGGTGAAGTATCGATGCCAAGACAAGAAGTTACCCTACACTAGCATGTAAGGCAGAGTATGTGTATTCAGAAAGTGACATGTAAACTCACAGTGTAGTGTATGGTCGTGGTCTGGTTGATGTGGGTTGCCAAAAAGTCATCAAACCTTGTCTTCGCACCTGCCGCCTCTGATGACGGGGTGCGAGAAGGCTTAGACTGCAGACATTTGACCGCTTCGATGTAATCGAGCTTGTTTTTTCTGCTCAGCGAGCCCCTGGAAACCCAAGTTAATTGTTAACGTACTCATTTTAAACGCACGCCTCGCCCAGACAGAGATCTCGGATCGGGCTGCGACAGCGGGTCACTGACCATTCCCTGCGGACTCGAACATTGTTCCATGTGCAAGTACCCCCACGCTTCCGGACCTCACCGGTTTCGATCTGCGACTTGGTATCTTCGAAGGCAGCCTGCGCGAGACTAGCCAGCCGTTGAAGGTCGTCGGCAGTTTGCCGGTCTAAACCGGGGTCAGTTAAGCGGGAGGTGGATCTGGCTTGCGCAAAAGAGGCAGCGCTAACGCCGAGAAAGGCGAGTATTGAAAGTCGCATGTTTAAAAGACGGCTCCACGTCAGTATAGGAACACTTTTAGTAGGTTCGACACAAGGTTGAAGTTCAAAGTTGTGGGAGCAAGTACAACGCAACCGATTGAGTCAAGAAGCGGAGTCTCAAAGCGCCGGCGTCCTATATGTGTTGCCAAAGAGCTGCTCATCGTCAACCTAAGGCGCTCAAAGAAGGCTTTCCAGCCTGTATGCGAGCTACTGCCATGTACCCGTTAAAAAAAGAAAGCCATGGTGAAGTTCTTCCAATCCTAGCAATAGCTCATGCATTTGAGTAAGCACCAATGCAGGTATGTAGCATTGCTAATGAACCTTATGACTAGTCTCTCAGCTTTACACCAAGATCATGAGAAGGATTCTTGCGTTTGGATCCTGGTTTGTCAGTGCGCTGGATAATTATTGCACCCGTTTCTGGGCATTCATCCGAGATGGACGTGCCCCTTTTCGGATCAATCATCAGAACCGTTAGCATCAAAGCTGCAGTGTGCTCTTCGCTTACTATGGCAATCTTCGTTATATTGTACGAATTGCCTGCCAAAATATGAGCTCTTCTTTGACTGTGGCGAGACTCAAGCAATCAAGTTTGTTAGCGAATGATTCTCAATGTTATGCGGTGCATGCGTCAACATACATAGTGTCACAAGTACCGGTAGAGCACACAGCGGGGCATACAAGAATAAGAATCAGCAGGGCTTAATTCTAAGAAAGGAATAATGAGAAGAGAGGAATTGTATTTGTAAGCAAGTGATGAAAGTACCGGTAATGAGTGAAACGTCACGCAATAAGGCGCATGGCGGAGCTGATGCCAAGTGCTAGTCATGATGAGTCGATGACGTGAAGCTGTCGTGAAACATAGCATGTTCAAAGGCAGCCACACAGGAACACGGTAACGGGAAAGCGGCTTGGGGGTTACGGTGAAGACAAGAGGTGGCGGAGCACAGATAAATATTCAAAAGTATTTTGAATTGCGACTCAGGCACTGAAAAAATGATTGAACTTGATATTGCTGGGTTGGGCCCTTATCAAAAGATCCCCTATGCCATATTCACAATATGCACACTGTCACATAGGCTTCTTCTAGGTTTCTTCCCTTACTCACTTTCTTGTTACACATTGTCATAGGCAATCATCATCATTATTCGTGTTCAGAGCCTCCTAGCTTGACTTGGGCTTCGGCGGACCTCTTTGCGATTGACCTTGTAAGAAAACGTAGCTTTAATGACGTATTCGTCCACATCTATCTACCTTGCCGTAATCTTTACAAGCCTTGAGACTTTTTACAGCTAGTCATTCCTCTTGATCACATCTCATGGCTCACTATTCCTATTTGAAATAGGGACCCCTAAAGCCTTGTAAATCTCCGCAACGTAAGATCTCACAGCATCATTTCCTGCAGTGCCAGCTTCCATCTTGTTCATTGCGTAGGCGATAGTAATATGGCGATCAACGTCATTGAGGACCATTGAACCACCCCAACCTCCCCAGAAGCAAAGCCTGCCCTCAGGTATCCAAGAGTCAATGCCCGAATCGCCGTTTCCTCGGATCCCGAGACCAGTTCCAAACCGGATGGGGATACCGAAGCACAGGTCGGGACCGTATGACTGCTCTGTGAAGATGAGGTCGATTGTATCTTTTGAAAGTAGTCTTTGACTTTCGTCACTAATCGTGAGGGCTCTTGACCATATTTTTGCGATCGCTTGACTGTTCGAATGTCCGTTTGCGGCGCCAATATCTGCTCTTCTCCATGGCTCTGTGTTTGCGAAACTAGCGTCCGGAGTAGGATACATCATTTTAGCTGGCAGAGAGTCGGGGTCCATCTTAGGCGGCGATATGGAGTCGGACAGAGGAAGGGGAGGGGGTACCAGTTCTGCGACGCGGGGCCAGTCTTCCTCCTTGGCGCCAATCTGGAAGTCGGCATTGAGGGGGGCTGCGATTTTTTGAGCCACAAACTCACGAAGAGTCAATCCTGTCTTCCGGCGCAGAAGCTCTCCGATCAGATAACCGTACGTCCAGGTGTGGTATCCCGAAGCTGTGCCCGGTTCCCAACGTGGCGGCTGCTTCTCAAGCCTTGATACAGTTGCATCGAAGTCACACATCTCTTGCAGCGTGATTGGATCATCGAAGACTGCAAGACCCGAACTGTGAGATAGCAGGTGACGGACTTCGATGTTTTCTTTCCCGTTCACGGCGAACTCTGGCCAGTATTTCGATACTTTGTCGTACGGAGAGAGTTTTCCGTCGTTGATGAGAAGAAGAACGGCAAGGGCAGAAACGGTCTTAGTCGTTGAAAAGACGTTGACAATTGTGTCTTCATTCCAGGGGCGGGTGCGCTTGGCGTCTGCATAGCCTCCCCATATGTTGATAACCTCTTCGCCATCGATGCTGACAGTAAGGGAAGCACCCAGTTCTTGTCCAGATTCGAGAAGTTCTTGGAATTTCTTGCTAACCCCATGAAACTTAGGATGGCATTTCCCGTGTGCTTGGGCCATCTTGAATATTCAATATAGTGGCTGTCGAAAGAAAAGGAGTCGCTGGAAGACGGATGCAGATAAGGCGGGGAGAAGGAATATAAGGCATCTCTTCCAGCGAACTTCTTGCTACTTGTGGAGTACTGAGCCCCTCTCAGGAGACTGTGGACCCAGGTAATTTGGTTGCTTCTATCCAGAGTCTTCCTCGTGGTGCCAAACAACACCGTAGCCGTGCGGGGTGGCATACCGTCGGACTTCGCGGAACGATTTCGTGCCACTTCCCCATTGTAGCGTTCCATATCTGTAGGTTCGGCCCACAAATGATAATTAGCGAGTCTCTTGACAAACAAATGTAGGGTTTACTGCGACATCGGATACTCCGTAGTCTCAGTCGCCGTTCTATGCTCGGCCAAACGAGTTGTTAACCTCGGCCATACATACCCCTGCTAGGTGTTACGTCCGATGCATTACTAACCTCTTCGATATACGACGAGAAATATCAGCTGTACGAAGTAGGCAAGCCATTTATCAAAACTCCACTTGATACTCCCGTGGAAAGTAAAACAATTAAGTGTTTTGCTGCCCACCTAGTCGATAGCAAAGGTTCAAACGGGAGGGCCTTTGGAGATCCACTTATCCCCTGCACGGTCAAGTTAGTATTAAACAAACACAAAGTTAGGAGAGTGTGTGGATAGTTGAGAGCAACTGACCGACTTGGAGATTTGTCTGGTCCGGAAGAAGAATGACGCAAGTGCAAAATCAAGGTAGACTTAGGGTGCATCCGACACGACAGTAAATCCGATAAACGAGAGACAATCAGACTCGCTCGTTTCTATAGCGGGATACTTTCAACCAGATTGCACAATCAGTGCACCGCAAATGATTCTGTCTTGTTTGTGTAACTCAACTACCCCGCAACCGGATATCCCCCACCTTTGGACATCCGAAAATCCCCTCCTTCATCAACACCACTACCTTTTTTAAACTATCACAACATTATCCATTTACATCCAAACAACGCAATTTTTTTAGGATACCTTCTTTAACCTATAATAAAGCAATATACCAAAGATAAGCTCTAATAGGCCCTTAATAATATAGTAGATAGTTACTTTATCTACTACACTACTTAGAAATAGGCTATACTATACTAGACACTTTAATACTAATTCTATAGGTAGTAAAGCAAAAATACTACCTATAACTATATATAGTAATTATCCTAAGCCTAAGAGGATTATCTAGCTAAATAAGTATAAACCTAGTATACCCTAGGTAATAGACCTACCTGTTATAGTTAGTAATCTAACAGTAGGGTTTTTGCTAGGAATAAGCTAGGGTTAATACTTAGTTAACAGTAGTGTAGGCTTACTAGTCTATTAATTACTTAGTAATTAGTTAGGTAGTTAATAGTTATAAAGGTAGCTTATATAGCTCTTGTTAATTAAATCACTAAGGTAAGATACTAAAAGGTATTTAGAGAATATATTATAAAGTTAATTACTAAAGAGCTATAAAAGTCTGTCCTTAAGTGTGTCTAAGTTTATCCTATATATAAGTTTATTCTTCCTGTTAGTATATAAGGCTATATATCTAAACTATAGCACCTATATATTTTCTGTATAGTGTCTATATACTAAGTATATAGCTTCTATATTTTTAATATATAGATCTTATCTAATCTTATTATTATATAACTTATACTATAGTTCTTCTATATCTATAGGAGTTATCCTGTCTACGCTTATCTATTAGTTCTATATAAATACTATTACTGTCTACTAGTTACTTTACTAAGTAAGGTAATATTACCTATAACTTATTAGGTTATAACATTAGGTCTTCTTTCTTAAAGGTCTTGCCCTTAAGACCTACATAAGTAGGTTATATCTCCTAGGTTAAGGAGTTATTAATTCTACTTCCTAATCTACCTATAATACTAACACTATATTAGGTTATATAGAAAAATTAGGATTAAAATTAGCACTTTATTTAGTATATAATTATGTTTTCTAATAGTTTAGTTTTTCTAACGTTATACTTTACACTTAGTGCTTTTATACTAGTTATATTTATTAAATAGCTAAGGGGGCTAAAGTTTATTAAGGTTATAAAAACTTAAAGTGTCTTTATAATAGAATAGTAGTAATATTAAGTTATAAGTAAACTTCTTTTTTATTTATTAGTTTACTACTAATAATATATAGTATAAAGGCTAAGTAATTAGCGTTAAGAATAAGAGAAGAAGAAGGAAAAAGTAAGTAATACCTTCCTTAAGCTTTATTAGTAGCTTACTTAGATCTAATCTAAGGTAGCTAAGGCAGCTAGTTATTTATTAAGGATTTATACTATTTACAAGAAAGTAAAGGAATATTATATAGAGACGTTTACATAGGGGATATAGAAGTTAAAGGAGGCAGATACCTTAATAGTACTTAATACTTATAAGTATTAGGTAGTAAGTAATCTTTAGGCTAAAGGTATTAAGAATAATATAGACTAGTCTTTATATAGGCTTAGTAATAAGTTTACTAGTATAGGTCTATTAGTACCTAATTCTTCTAGTACTTATAAAAGTCCTAGAGTAGCTATTAAAAGTACTAGAGGTTCTTAACTAGTTCCTATAAGTTATCTTTATATCTATAGCCTTTTTACTTTACTAGGTATTATTCTTTACTGTTTTTATAGTGTTTATTAATAATATATTTAACTTTATATTCTAGTTTATTTAGTTCTATAATAATATAGTTATTAGTATTTAATCTTATAGTACTAGTTTAAGTAGTATAATATAGAAGACTAGGTGTATTTTTATTATTTCTAGTAAGTTAAGTTTATAGTTAACTAGTAAGATTTTCTTAAGGATTTTAAAAAGTCTAAGTT